AAGAAGCTGAAGGTGCTGATCAACGATGGACTGACAAATTATAAAGGACTAAATGCCAGTTTCTTTCTGCTCTTTAAATCAACATGCTCATATCTGACAACTAAAAGACAATTGGCCTGTGAACAGAGATCCATGTAGACAAGAAATGCTGAAAAAAAAGCCAGTGCTGGTTTTTCTTTAAAGAGACAACTGGCAAAAATGTGGCCAATCCCTTCCTGTCAAACAACCCTTTGGATTTTAAAAGGGGATAATGGTTAAGACATGATCTGGAGATCCGCCCAAAATTATCTATATTGAGGTTCAGACACTATATGGAAGATTTAAAGTGTTTGGCTTGTCTGGTTCAATTAGGGACTGTGCCAGTGATGACACCCAGACATGAAGGAGCCAATTAGCTCACAACAATTAGGATACACTCCCATCATATCCCCTGCAACTCCACACGCAAGCGTACAGAAAGGCTACATGACAGCACTATCACTGCGAGAATTCCAGGAACATAGAAAGCAATAGCCATAATACTGTCAAGTCCCAAGAAATCCTTGTAGAGTGGGATTATGCTCCCCTTATGCTCTTCCCAACCACTGTTCTAAAGCACAACATACAAATAGGACAAGCAGTGCACAATATAGCGCCCAGAACTCTCTGGGCAGAACACTCTGATGGGACGAGAACTCAACATCTAAACAGGAATTAGAAAGACTCATTTGCAAAGCAGCCAAGAGACAGCTCATGATCAGATATGAGGAAGGACCACTCTATTACAGACCACCCTCTTGGAGTACTGAGGCCAGATTTTCCTATCATTCATCACTCTTTAGTTCAGAAAAGATAACATACCTTGCAAAATCTTATTTTTCTTACTATTTGTATTTATTAATTGCCACTCAGAGCACTTAGGAAAAATATAATGGTTAAAAACAAAATTACAACACAAGATAAACAATACGTTACCCACATTAAAATCTAGTATCAGTAGAGAAAATAAAGCATGGTACCACCACAATTAAGTCATTATGCCATATAAAGAGAGCTGGGAACAAACTCAGAATTAAAGGTAATAAAATAATCAAATGTGTAAAAAAAAAGAGAATCGGGGAGGGAGATCCTGCAAGGGGAAGACACCTGTGAGGTTGCTAAATGTTTACCTCAAAAGGGCCCCTTTGTCTTGGACACTAAATCGACAGACAGCAGCCTAGCAGCTGCAGTGTACCTGAACAACAGCTACTCTGTGTTGGGAACATCTTTCACTATTGCATAATAGTGCAGAAGTCTGCCTGAAGCAAATAGAATAACTAACACATGACAGAATAAGCAAGAACATGGTGGTCAATGCTGCTGGCCATTAGAAACAAAACCCAGGATCGCTTCTCTCCCTGCGGAACAGCAGCATCGGGAGACACAGAAGGTGAACAGCAATCGTCAGCCCTGGAATGTATTCTGCACACAGATGCAGAGTAGATGATTGTGAGGGACTGATGCTGCCTGAACACTCTGCCAAAGACTGCAATGAAAAAGCAAGCTGTTTCTTTTGCAACTAAAGAGGAACACTGTGTAAACAGTAGCAGCTTATTCAGATCTATGTATCCACCTACGATGTTATATGGTGGGGGAAATAATTCCCCCCCCCAAACCTAGGGCCTTTATCACCTTACCTGCAGTGGCTTTAACCCTGCATCACCTTGATTAAACCTGTTCTTTGTTACAGCCTTTATTACAATCAAAAATGTTTAACCTTAGTTTACCTAATTGATTCAGGAAGTCTTCACTTGGAAAACTACTTCCTAGTTTTTGACCGTCACCCACCTGGAAACCAGGAAGTACTTATTCTCAGTAAAGACTTCCTGAATCAATCAAGTAAAGGGGGAAAGATGCAGTTCTGGATAAAAATAAAGCTGTAAGATCAGTAAATCACTAACTTCTTTGCTTTCAACTGCATTTATTGTATTATAATTTTATCCTCCCTTCACTTCATGATTTTTGATTTTCACCCCTATGTATTCATGTCGCTATTTACTATTTTGTTACTCTGTTGTTTTTTGTTATTTGTTGTAAATGACCCAAAGTGGCCTTGGCTTGCCAGATGGGCGGTATATAGATCAAATAAACAAACAAACAAACAAACAAACAAACAACGTGCTACAGGATTAAAATTCCTGCAATTTTATTTATTTTTTATTTAATTTATACCCCACCCATCTAGAAAGTCTACTCTGGGCGGCTATCAACCCAATCATAAAAACAATTAACAGTATAAAATAAAACAACAACATGATATGATTCAAGATGGCAAAATAAAGTTAAGTAATGCCTAAAGAACCGGGTTTTAAGTTTGCAAATGAAAGAGTACATTTTTTTTCAGTAAAGTACTGTGCTGGTGCTTCCTTTTTGGCAGTTTTTTCTCTGAACTCTTTTTAATTAATCTTCTGCAGTGGGTGAGTCTCAAGACTCTCAGCCAAACCCAAATCTGGTCTTCAGCCCAACCATCACACCCCTATTGTAAGGAAAGGGCTCGACTAGCATTAGCAATGGTCCTGAGAGAATCATCTTGCACATATGCTCTTTGGTAGCTAAAGCAAGTCACTCCTCTCAGGCTCACTGCGACTGCAGCGACAAAGGGCGCATCCTCGGATTGAGATGAAAGGAGAGACAGAGCCGAGTGTCATTTGCATACTGGTGACACCAAAACCCAAAACTCTGGACATCCTCTACCAGTGGTTTTATGTAGATGTTAAACAGCATAGGGGTCAAAACAGAAGCCTGAGGATGCCACAGGTCAACAGGTAGGGTGTCAAACAGGACTCACTTAGCAATGCTTTCGGAATTCTCCCCTCCAGGACGGACAGGAGACACTGTAGAACAGTGAGAGATGGGCCAGACACACTCCCACTGTCCAGTTCCTGGCATAAGTCATCCACCAAGGCAACCAAAGACGTTGCAAAAGGGGAAGCTCTTTTAGGTTAATTCATTTCAGGTTTCTTCATTTATGTTTTTGGCACTGGAAAAAGACCAAGAGCCCTTAAGTACCCCCCAAAAAGTACTGCAAAAAAGTAGAGTAAGGCAATGAGAACTGCTCCATTCTAAAAAGCAAAGTGTGCTGGTTATATACCGCCCCATAGTACAAGAAAAATAAAAATCATCACCAAACCTATGCAGGCACTAATTTATATTCTTATATTTACACAGCTGAGCGGCACGCTGGAAGTCATCAAGTCCATGCCTTGGCATATACAGTGGTGCCCAGCTAGATGATGACCCCGCTGTACGACGAATCCGCAGGACGGTGATGATGTTTCCTATAGGGGACTTTCACTTGACATCGATTAGGTCCTTGCTTCGCAAACCGTTTGTTCGCAAAACGACGATTTTTCTGGTTCCGCAAAATGGCTTCCGTTCGCAAAACGGATGGCTTCCCTTCGCAAAATGGGTGTTTTCCGGACAGAAGCTTCGCAAGACAGCGATTTAAAACAGCTGATCGGCGGTTCTCTACGGGCGATTTTCGCTGGATGACGAGGTATTTTCCCCATTGGAACACATTAACGGTTTTCAATGCATTCCAATGGGGATTTTTTTTGCATGACGACGATTTCGCTGTACAGCAATTTTCCTGGAACAGATTATCGTTGTCATGCGGGGCACCACTGTACACTTCTAAAGAAGCATAAGTCCCATCCACCCCCTACCAAAAATACACCTTTGACAGAATAAATTGACAGTAATGTAAACAAAAAGAATTTAAAAAAACAAAAGTGGGGAAGTACCACCCCCACCCCCACACAGGGAAAAAAATAGCAAAATAAAATACACACACAGCCCCTCTCTTAATATCCAAGAAAAGCAAGCAAATAGAGGCCAAATATATAATCCAAACCCCTTCCAAACCAAAACACTAGACTTAGGACGACGTCTTCCAACCACCACTTGATGCCTTCTCTCCTCTCTCTTGCAAAAATAATCCAAAGAAAGAGGGCAAACTGCTGCCCAAAATCTAGGGGGAATCCTCAAATGTAAAGGATTCAAGATGAAGGCACAAAGGCACACAGCACCATCCAATATGGAAAGTGCTCAGAATTCACACAACACAAGAAATATGTGAAAGAAATGTTAGTTCCAGCCAGTTGAGTCCCTTTAAATTATGTATTCAAAATTCCTGGTTCTCTTCTGATTATCTGCTGACAGCAGCCCTTGCGATATTACTGGATGAAATATTTCCTGGGCATCTGACAGACAAACAGTGCAAGAAGAGTTACACAAAAGAGGGAACACCAAAATCACAAAACATTGGTGCAACACTCTTTTGCCAATATCAATCATTTGGGCTTCAGAGATTCTCTTTCAAGAATCAACAAAATAATACACAAATGAAAAGAGCCTCTTTCTTGTTTTGGGTCTTTTGCTCCAACATGAAAAACACATCCCTAACAAGGACCAAACTAGGGTTGAGAAAAACAAACATGTGTCTTTATTACTGTTTTCTTTATTACTTCCATCCTCTGTCTTCCCTTAAAGTGAAAAAACAAGACGCCCTGCAAAAAGTTAAAACAATCTAGCTAATAGAAGGGGGGGGGACCATGAGCATTTCAAATCATTCAGAAGCAACACACCAAAAAAGTGAACAAAAACAGAGAATATAAACTCTATTTCATGATAGATCATTTTACGCCAGCAGTCAATTTTGACTGGTGCCAATATTTGTATCAAAGACTGCCTGCTGCAATTTACGGTTGAACAGTATTACAGTACCATATGTTAATGCAATCAGTATTGCCATTTCATGAATTCATTTTGCAGTACTACATCACTAGAACATTTGGATAAATACACACATACAGAGGTTCGATTAAGAATGTAATTTACAAAAGTGAAGTTTTCATATTTTAATCTGTTGTGTTTTAAAACAACAAAACACTATTTTATTTTTATTTTCAGGTGAAAATCTGTTGAATATACCACAACTGCAAAGAGATCTTAACCAACGGTATATTTGGGGAGATACCTACGTTTTTTTCTGTGTTCCACTACAGTGCTGGCCTGCTTTGCTGAACATTTTGCAAACCAATTGTCTCCAAGAAGAACAGTGACTTCATTAGTATGAACCAGTCTTCCAGGCATGAAAGCAAGGGGACCAAAAGGTACCTGTTAAAGCAAAAGGTAAGAAATTCAGCACAAGTCCATTAGGCAAGATTAAATTACGGTAATCATCCAGTGTTGTATCCGATGCAAAAAGTTTCAGTCCTTTAGGATAAATACAGGGGAAGGTAGGATAATATAACCATATTAATAAGTGCTCAGTATGTTTGGTATTTACACATATGAAACTGCAACTTCAGAAACTGCTGTGATATTGCAACCAGGTCACACAATCAACCAAAGGACATGATTGTCATTATCCCACTTAAATACTAAGTAGGATTTTGGTGAGTGCACTAATTAATCTCCACCTTTAATGAGTATCTAGTAGTTTTTTAATTAATCTTAGTATATGATTTTCCAGCAACACATAACTTGGGAACAAGTTCCCAAATCAAGTGCCCTCTGAAATGTACTGTCTGCTCAAAATGAATCAATTCTAGTCTTCCACATAATGTATATTCAGGCATGCTTGAAGGCACAGGAGCTACATCTGCTTAAAGAACTTTTCCAGGAGAAGAAATTGGCACCTATGTTAGTCTACCACAGCAAACACAACAGTCTAAATCCAACTGCAAGTCCCAGCTATGGTATATCAATTACTGAACATGTCAAGATTTATGTAAATTCCACAGATTAAATGAGTCAAAACTCTAGTTGGGACTACAAACAGAATTCAAGCCAAACAGCCCCATGGGATCTTAAAATGTAACCAATTTACAATGACATGAGTTTCAATGGCCTATAGCCCAGTGTTATACAGCAACAACAGAAATTAACTAAGCCACCAGGAAAAGGTCTCAGCCCACTACAGTTATGGTACTTCCTATTTTATACAATCATGAAGAGCTCATTTTTAACTGATTTTGATGTTAGCCATGTTTCCTTCCAAACTTTGTTTAATATGAATACAGGTAGAAAGTTAATACAGTGGTGCCTCGCTTAACGGGCGCCCCATTTAACGACGAAATCGCATAGCGATTAACTTTTTGCGATCGCTTTGCAATGGTCTGAATGGGTTTTTTCGCTTTGCGATTATCGGTTCCCTGTTTCGCTTACCAATCATCTCAAAGCGATGATTTTTTTAACAGCTGATCGGTGGTTCCAAAATGGCCACCAGGTAAAAAAATGGCCGCCCACTGTGTTTAGGGACGGATTCCTCGCTTACCGGGCAGCAAAAATGGCCGCCGTATGGAGGATCTTTGCTTTAAGGTGAGTTTTAAGCCCATAGGAACAGATTAAACAGGTTTTGATGTGTTTCTATGGGCTTTTTAAAATCGCATAGCGACAAAATCGCTTAGCAGCGATTTTTGCTGCACCGATTATCGTCGCTATGCGAGGCACTACTGTAATTTTTTTTAAACGAGAAAAGTCTGTTTCTTCTTCCTAGCTGAGTATGATCACATAACTAGGAATCAATAGCAACTAAGACGCATTCACATTAGAACGATAAAATTTATTTCATCTTCACTGATTCTGGTTAGTCTTAGAAGCGGAGAATGTTATGTTTTATTACTAAAAGACAGAATACTCTAAATGCACTGAAATACAGTGGGGTCTTGACTTACGAACGACCCTACTTGCGAACAATTCAACTTACGAACCCACCCTATAGGGAAAATAAAGACTCGACATACGAACTTCCCTCGAGTTACGAACAGGAAAAAAAAGTGCCCCCTCCCTCCCCTTAGAGGCTTCTGAAGGGAAAAAAAGGTCAGAAACTTAAACATAAATAAAAGAAAGTCACTTACCAGGCCTTGGTAGCCCCCAAACAGCAGGAAAAAGAGCAGGAAACAGCTAAAAGCCCACACCAGAAGGGAGCCTGGCAGCCATTTTGTGGTTTTCCCCCGCTCCTGCACCCTCCTCTCCCTGCCTATCAGCTGATCGGCTGGCTCTGCAGAGGCTTGGGGAGGCTTTCTCAGCACCTAAAAAGCCTGCCTGTGTGTCTTTGTGCTGAAAAAATCAGCACAACATGCTTTAAAACATGCTTTAAAACTGGCTTCGTTGAAAAAAAAGATTTAAAAAGTGCTTTGCAAACTGTTCCCTGCCCAAGGGAAAAAAAAGGAAAAAATATCCCCCTCTAGTGGCAGAAGGCAGAATAGCAGCTTCCCATTAGTTTCTATGGACGGAAAAGAGCAAATATGGATTAAATGGTTTTCAATGCATTCCTATGGGAAATGCAGCTTCGACCTACGAACATTTCAACCTATGAACCACCTTCCAATACAGATTAAGTTCGTAAGTCGAGACCCCACTGTGCAGATTGTGCAGTATAGAATAATAGATCCAAATCTTTAACATTCATTCTTCAATGTTAAATATGCATTCAAACTTTTCCCAAAACTGATTTTATACAACAAAAGATTGTACTTAGGTTTTTCCCCCTCAGGAAATATGACAACCTACTTTCTTCCACCTAGTTGTGTACAGCAGATTTAATTTCATGATTCCATGAAATACTGTAAACATCCTTCATCCAATGTATCTGGGATTGTATTAATATCTCTGTCAAAATTTGGAAATTACCGTTTATTATAGATTTGAAGAAACTAGATGGGAAACAGGTTTAACATCATCTATAATTAATCATTACTAACTGTAAAATCTTCAATTCATTTGCTAAGGTAAGTCATGCAAACAATAGTGAGAATTCTCTTGCTTAAGTACACTGGTATAAGTGTGAATAGTTCCTAATGAACAAGTACCTGATCAATCTCCTAGTCACCTGTAAAATAACTGGCAAGTAACTAGGAATTCAAGTGGGGATTCATGAATCAGTAATTATGCATTACTTCAATTTATGCCAATGTGCTTATGCAGCATAAAGATTCACTTGGATTCTTGGTGATATGTTCAAAATCTAACCACAGACAGAAGAGTAGGAGCATCTCATGGGTTACTGAGCTGCTCGCACCTTATTTTCCTTTTTTGGAGTGGATAATGAACTGAATTATTTCTGCAGTAAATGTTGATACTAGTCAAGGTTAGTTGAAACTAGATTTGCAAGTATTCCTCTAATAATGTCTGCAAATGTGTTGGCACAAAATAACATGGCACCAGAGTAACCTAAAAAGGGGAAGGAACATGAAAAGAGGAAATAGGAAATGCAGCACAGACCATCACAGGAGTAATGAATCTGCAAAGGATAATAATATGGTTTGCCTGCTTTTTTTCCCCACTGAATTAAACTGCACATACCATGATATCATATGAGAGTTTGTCAGGCAACGTGCTAAGTCGTTCTTGAAGAGCTTCATAGTCACTTTCCACTTTCTTCCTGTTGACAAATTTATATTAGATTATTTTAAATCCTATGTTTCAGTGGATGATAAAAGAATGGTTTTAAAAATAAGTTTCTGTACAACAAAGCATATCATGATTACATATCTTAAAAAATGGCCATGCTAAGAAATATTTCAATGGCCAGAATCTAAGTCCTTTTCACCCCATAAAAATGAGGAAAGCCACCACAATTAACTAACTAGGTGCCAGTCAGAGATTTGTCCAATGCCTAGCTGAGCAGCTGGCATATATCCAGCACCGTGTCAATTATCCACAGCAACGTCCATGGTTTTGCTTCTGCACATGGAATGAATCCACCCACTGTATTCCTGAATGCCTGTGTCTAAATCTTGTGTGAGGCAAATATAATAATTTTCCAAACATGGAAGGTGCTTTTCATAAAGCAATAAATGAGACTTTGGGACACGTTTTCTTTGTCAAGATGCATTAGGCTACATCCCTTCACTGGAAGCCCAATTTAAATCTGAATCTTGTGATCTGACCTTCCTACTGTAATATTTAAAAACTGGTTAAATAACAGTTAAAGTTTAAAATAATTTTGGAAAAAAAAGAGAGAATAAATAGGAAGGTAAACTCCATCACACAAGGCCTAGTTCAGTCCACAAAGTGCCGGAGTTCAACCCACTGGAAACTTCCCATTTATCTCTCCATTTTCCCAAAGGCCCATCCCTTGTAGACAGGCAGTCTTTCCTCTGTCCTACCACTATAATATGCTGCCTGCAGAAATCTGTTGAGTCAAACGCCATGCAGGCAAATGGAGCTATCTTGCTGCCTCTTTGCCTCAACCCACTGGAAACTTCCCATTTATCTCGCCATTTTCCCAAAGGCCCACCCCTTGTAGACAGTCTTTCCTCTGTTCTATCACTATAATGTGGTGCCTGCAGAAATGTGTTGAGTCAAACGCCATGCAGACAAACGGAGCTATCTTGCTGCCTCTTTGCTAGGACAGTAAAGGGTCTCCTAGAACTCATCAATGAGAGCAGATAATGTCCACTCCCTGGAGGTATCTCATCAATTCACAGTTCATACTCTCTGTGTTATGGAAAGAGTGCCTAAGGGCACTTTATTTGAATTAGCATTCTCATCTGTGTGAGAGGAGAAGAGTAGGAAATTGAACCAAAGCCCAGGATTCCCTAAGAATGCTCTCTGAGACTGTTTTTGCTGATCCAACTCTCACTGGACGTAAGGACACCTAATTTGTTGGGGCAAGATAAGAATGTACATTCAGATGTTCATCCACCATTACAACAGAACAAAATAACACCACTTTGTATCAAATCAGGCTATCGTTAATCTGACCCAGCACCATCTGCACTGACTGCAGTGGCTCTCCTGGGCTTCAGACACGAGACCTTCCCATTGCTAAGACCTCACCCAATCCTTTTGAGCAGAGATGATAAAAATTGAACCTAGGACCTTCTGCATGTGAAGTAGATACACTATCATTATGGTTCCTCCCTGTATGCTGCTGAAACTCCAGTAATGTGAACATACACCATCTACATCCAGATGTTTGCATCTACAATGCACTGCATCCCATTATCTGAATGAATCTTCCCACCTACTCTCTTCCTTTAATTAATACTGGGGGAAGAATCATCAGCTAAGTTGCCTCATGAATGGAACTGTATTTCATATCCCTCTCTGCCAAGATACGTAAAGCAGATCCTTTTCCCAACCCTTATGGAGGATAGGAAAAACGAGGTAATCTTCATAAGGGGTGAAAAAGTGCCCTTCTCCATTTTGTTTCATTGTTATTATAGTTGCTGTGTGAGCCTGATAGAAAATAGGTGCTGTGCTGCAGTTTGTTGACTCAAAGAGCACCAGTGGACACAAAAGTAATATCCATCTTATTGGAAATGAATGCTGCTTCTGAATTTTAAACATTAGCAAAACATATTAACTTTAAACTCTTTTCTACATATTAATACGAGGAGACATTAAGATGGCCTTGAGCCTCCTCTTCCATTCCTCTTATCCACCACTTGCAGCTTATGTGCATTTAAAAGGGGAGAAGGGTGTCCAAATGAACCTCCCAAAGCAAACATTTGATAGAGACAAACTGTAAATTATTTTCTCACAGATCTTTCAGGCATGAACAAAAAGCCTCTTAAAATAAATTTAAAATATTATATGCTTGATGGTGTATAACCAAAAGTTTAATCTTTCCACTAAAAGGGGCAGTTGCTGTGATTTTGCAATAACCCTGCAGACAATAATCAAGAAGGCCCCTGTTGTTCACTCTGCAAACTCCTAGTAGACACAGCATGGATGTAGCATAATTCCAAATCTTTTAAGATCAAGTGTTGTCTCTCAATAACTCATAAAAATGTTAACCATTAAATATATCTTTTTTCCATCAAAATACCCACACGAAACATTTATTTCCTTATATTCCCAATTTGCAATAAAGAAATCAAGAGAAATCAGATATAATATTTTTAAAGGATAGCAGTCATTCTAAAGTCCCAAGTTTATCTTAGGCATGTAAGTTATGAAATATATAACTTATATTCTAAGTATATTTAAATAAGTTTATATATAAAATTATCTATTTTTATTACAGTGGAATAATTTGGAAAAAGGCCAATTTCTATCTCTCAAATAAAAAGCAAAAACAAAAAAAATGCTCTGTAAATGGTCAAGTTGATTTGCTGAACTTATTACACAGATGTTTTTGCTTTCTTTTAAAATCATGTAGGTATCTATTGATAGCATACTTTACGAGTCTGTTTTATTTTCTCAAAATGGCAATAAATAAATAAATAAATAAATAAATAAATAAATAAATAAATAAATAAATAGTTGCACTTCAGGATTTACACAGTTTGAAAAGATTTCTGATGTACTTATTTTGGGTAGAAAAGCAGTCGAAATTAGTGTGTGTCTTTTTAAAGAGACATGCAGATCTTAAAAGCATGCTTATACTAGCAAATTAGAGCAGCAACACAAGAAATGCAGAGGGTGCAATTTAATAAGCAAGGGCACAATCAAAATGATGTTCCAATATATAATATTATTTGAATTTGGTTAATTTTCTAAAGAATATATGCATAGCTCTTTTCTAAAGACACACACAGGCTGTTTTCATTGATATTTTTGGCATGCAGTCAAACATTTTTCACTTACCAGTGCTGAATTTTTTCTTGGCAGCTAGTGACCACCTGTCATTAAAACAGATAACTGCTCATGAAAAAACAAGGCTAAGCACACAGCTGCAAAGTCAATGTTTCAGAAACTAGAGCAGGAGCTTTACAGATTTGGTTGCATTTTGCTATACATTTTTATTTATCAGTGCAAAGGGGCAGCAACGTTCATTCTTAAGCACAACACTTTATCACAGTGCGCTAATCCAGACTGATAACCACAGAATAAATTACACTTTCCCCAACTCATATTTTGATACAATGCACACTCCATAACAAGATGACACATGATACAAGATAAAACCTGTACTTTGCACAATCTACACATCAGTTTTTAATGTTACATCCTTTGCAGAGTAAACACAAAGCAAATATAAATTTATGCAAGGAATGAAGTTTTCTGTACTGTTTTAAAAAGATCATAAAAGTGCTTGACTACTTTCTGCTTCTAAACAGTAATTGCACACTACTCTGCTGCAGAAAAACTGAAATAATTATACAAAAATATGATTTTTATTATCAGTATCGGTTCAATGCCATAATAAACAAGCATATATATAAAGGAATAAACTTCTGTCAAATGACAGAATTCTGGGGAATGCAATAGTGTTTCGACTAGTGGCTTGACTTTTTTAAGCATTATGCCTCTCTGCAACTTTTTTTACCATCATCCAAACCTCTTTACGGGTATGTACCTTCCAACCTGGGGACAAATTATTTAGACCAGTGGTTCCCAACATTGGGACCCCAGATGTTCTTGGACTACAAATCTCAGAAATCCTGGCCAGCAGAGGCAGTGGTGAAAACCTCTTAAACTCTCAAGAGGTTTTCACCACTGCCTCTGCTGGCCAGGATTTCTGAGTCCAAAAACATCTGGGGACCCAGGGCTAGGAACCACTGATTTAGACAAAGCATATTAAAATGCCACTTCCTCACCCCAATGAAAATAAAATTTATTTTCAGATATATATAAATTGTTATAGCCCAACATCCACACTGTGAAAATTTGGAAGAGATGACAATTAAAAAACACATTCTGGGGAGTTTTTCTGCATTTTACACAAAGGATAGTCAACTTGTGGCCCTCCAGATATAACTGTACTTTAATTCTCATCAGCCACAGTAATGATGAGAGTTGCAGTCCAGTATTTATAGAGGGCTACACATTTTACTCTGCTTTACATGAAAATCCTAAATCCCTCATAATCACCAAAGTTTCTACCAGCACATAAAGTATGGGAGGGAAATGTAGAGAAGTAACCTGCCCCATGTCTAGGAGCAGATGAGAATCAGATGCCTGATGTTTGCCAAAATAAATACAAATGTATATATATAAATTTTAGCAGTGCTTCGAGACGCAACAGAAAATTGGCAGAATTGCCAATTAATACAATTAAATTCACAAAAATGTAATAAAGAGAGGTTCAAGGTTTGTCCGTCAGTCAAAGGTGCCTGTACCATACGCAACCACTTCATATAACGATCATGTGTTTCTTTCTGATATAACAACCGTGCTTTGAATACCTGTCACATAAATTATAAACATGCTACATTTGCAGCTTTGAGGGAAGATGCAAAAACAGTTGGCTTTTTATCATGACATGACTAGCGTTATGAGTTCACTTAACATCTCTGTCTTGTCTTTTAAAAATAGCAATGTATGTCTCAGAAGGCAGGAGGGCCTGGCGTGCTCTGATCCATGGGGTCACGAAGAGTCAGACACGACTAAACAACAACAACAACAACAACAACATGTCTCAGAGAGAGACAGAATTGGAGAAAGTCTTAGGTTCTCTAAGTCCTCTCTAAGTCTTAGGTTCTCTAAGTCCTCTTTCCCCAAAACCTATTCCTTGAATGAAGGTTTGAACGTTTAATTAATTGGCTACCCAGCATAGGCACCCAATACTTTTCTTTTTAAGTGTTCCAATAATGAAATCCCAAGTGTTAAGCAAAAACAGGAGGATCCGAAGGCAAAATTCCTATATCAAAATAGTGGGAAACCTAAGAAAAGAAGAAAATCCAAAGCAGACAGCTTGGGGGGGGGGGGAAATGTATTATTGGTGTTAAATAGGTAGGGACCCCTGCAAGCTATTTAAAGGGTTAATGTCAGATCTTGGTAATTTCCATAAATGGCAATACACAGGTTTTGTTTTGTTTTGCTAAGAGGAAAAACAAAGGGGGAGGAATTAGTCTGCCCTTTATAAACTGATATGAATTCACACTTTCATAGTATGCTATATCAACTGATTAGCTTAATAAGAAAACAAGCAGAAATGCTGCATGTTGCAGGGCTTTTGTTCAGTAATTCATACAGGTTCTCCATCTGAATGTGATTTCTTCCTTAGAAATACTTGCTTCTTAGGGACCCACAAACAAACTAATGTATGCAAGCAATTAATGGACACACTTGTCAGAAAAAAAGAGTATACTTTCAAAGCAAGTAATGTGTCTGCGCATGCACATGCGTATGTGTCTATATATGTGTAAAAAGGGGAAGGGCAAGAAAAAGAGTAAACAAAAGTGGTATGGCAAAAGCTAACAAAATTTGACTTGCAACATTAGATTGGCTAATGTATGAATGTTACTAGGAGATCAAGGTCTTGTTGTAATACAGGAAGCTGCAGCTTTGAATCACATCTCAGACACAAACCTGCCAGGCAGCCTTTACAAAGCACTGTTGAGACATCCTGTGAACAGATTTTGGGCTCACAAACTCCTCTTCCTCACTTCCTGGCTCACAATCATTATGCAGGACAGAAACGATAGCTGTAGATCAATTTTTTTTTCAAAATATAGTTGGCTTCTTTTCTGTGTTTTGTGTTTAACTTTGGCAATTTAAATAAAGAACTTCTCCATCTATCCCATCATACAGAGTTTAATAACAAATATTCTAATAGTTTTATCTGCAAGTATGTGCTAACTTATTTCGTTTGTAGTAAACATGTATTGACACTTGGTGTATCATTTTTAAATAAAACCACAAAGATTATACAGATATTATACGCAGTTTATTGTGAAGTATTCTATAAAGAAGCATCTGCTCATTTTAGTATGCATGTGTATGTGCTGATCTTGTCACTGTTTTAAAAACTTTCCAAAAATAAAAGCAACTTTTAAAATACTAAATTTATTTGAAATCTAACTTACTAACTGATTTTAAGGTATCTGACTGGCAAGGGCAAATAAATTATGGCTTTAAAAACCATGAAATTAAGTAAAAAAAAAAAAAAACAAGGGCAGCCCCTGCTAAAAGCCTGCCACAACAGCAAAAACAGATTATCACAAACTAAACTGTTACTATATACCGCAGTTTCCAATTCTGGTTTGGCAGTAAACTATGGTTTACAGTAGCCACTGTTCATCCAATTCACAGATTATATTAAATTATGCTTACTTTGAATCAAAACATGTGAGAATAGCAAAAATGATAAAGAATGTGGAATTAAAGTCTATTCAAAATAATCAATTAACTAGGCATCTACCAAGCCTCAGTCATGCCATCTGCCCGGAGAGTGCTTGTAGCACTATGGGGCGGTATATAAGTCCAATCAATCAATCAATCAATCAATCAATGAATCAATCAATCAATCAATCAATCAATGAATCAATCAATCAATCAATCAATCAATGAATCAATCAATCAATCAATCAATCAATGAATCAATCAATCAATCAATCAATCAATGAATCAATCAATCAATCAATCAATCAATGAATCAATCAATCAATCAATCAATCATATGGGTATTAGCACTGTCTTACTTTACAAGACTATAACAAGCAATAGATGCAGGATAAAAATTATACTATTAAGGGGATTGGAAAAAAAAATACAGTAATTCATCTGAAAGGTGGAGATGGAGGAGAGCTTTGCAGATACCCCGGACTGCCAGAAAAACTAACAAGAGGGTCCCAGAGCAAATCAAGCCTGAATGATCTCTGGAGGCAAAAATGTTGAAGCTGAGGCTGTTCTACTTTGGGCACCTCATGAGAAGGCAGGATTCTCTGGAAAAGACAATAATGCTGGGAAAGGTTGAAGGCAGCAGGAAAAGAGGAAGACCAAATAGGAGGTGGACCAACTAACCCAGAGGGAGCCGTAGGCTTGAGTTTGCAAGAGGTGAGCAGGCCAGCTGAGGACAGGGCATTCTGGAGAGGGCTCATAGGGTCGCCATAAATCTGAGGCAACTTGGCGATACACAACAACAGCAATTAGGTCTACTAATATTTAGGATTAAGCATAATCAAGAACAGTGGGTGGAGGGAGAGAATTAAATGACACAAAAGTGTTTAGAAGGTTCCAGCTCAAATACTCCTTTTCCAGATAGGCAAAGAAATGGCTCAACGGGAAGCCTGTCATTCCCAAAGCATGACTTTCCAAGCATGAAGTGAGCTAAAGGCACAAAAAGCAAAAGCCCTCAAAAAACTGTGAAGTGCAGCATGTTCATTAACCTCTACATGATAATCCTTTCATAGCTGCATATTAACTAGTTACATATTCATAATCATTTACATTATTTAGAAGACCTTCTATGGAAATTTCCAGGAGATATCCATTAGCTACAATGTTAAAGGTTACTCAAGATAGTCTGCTTAATGTTTCCAGGAAGCTTTTTTTAATTAGTAAATATGTAAATTGAGAGCATATGTTTTTTTCCCTTTTCTCAGTACTTTTTTCTTCCCGGTAAGAAACAGGCCATGAGTGGAAAGACACATGGACATATGGTTTCTTCAACCCATTAGCTCCTTAGACAAAAATCAGCAACACTGATCTATTTTAATTTCATCCTTCTTTCTTTGATATCCCCCGTGAAGCAAGAAAGGAAAAATCATACATTCATGCCCTATCATTAAAAAATGTAATCAGACTGGTGGTCCTTCAAGCTCAGTACTGCCACTGGCATTCCACAGTTTCAGACAAGAGTCTTTCAAAGCCTGGAAATGCCAAAGATCAAGCCTACGACCTGTTGCACATAAAGCATCGATTCTACGAATAAATGCTCTGGCAACAAAAGGACTCAGTAAAACAGTTCAGCCTAAGTTGCACAAAACAACTCCACTGAACACCATGTATCTATGGAA